CCTCCTTCTTAAAGATATATTCTCCCTGGTCTCCTGCTTTCCTTCTGCATGTTCATCTTCTTTTCAGTCTCTTTGGAAGGCTCCTCTTCCTCTCCCAGACTCTTAAATGCTGACATTCTTCCAGATCCAGTTGTTCCTCCTTCCCTTCTCTTTATCTATTATCATCTTTCCCTGGGTGATGTGATCTACCCCTGTGGCTTTAATGATCTGCCACCTCTGTGAAAATGATCTTCAAAAATGTGTTTCTAAGGTAGCCATTTTTCCTGGGCTTCCCGAACTAAATTTTCCAAAGCACGTTGACATGCCTACTTGGACCCTCACCATAAATCCAAAATGAAAGCTGGCGTCTTCGCACCAAAACCTGCTTCCTTCAGGCTGTTTGTCCAAGCTACGGGTGGGAGAAAACTTTTTGACCCATTCCCTCTTTTTCGCTTCCTCACTCCTATCCTTGATGGCCGAGTCCTGTTGTCTTGCCCTTAAAGGCCTCTTAAACTCCACCCACATTGTCCTTACTTTGCCCAGACTTTCACCATTTCTGCTATAGCCTACTGACTGGACTCCTGCCTGAGCCTCTAGATCTCTGGGTCCATTCACACACTACTCATGGAACAGTCTGATTTCATTATTTATCAGCCAAAAGCTTTCCCAGAGCTTCTATTTCTTGTGGGATAAAGCTCCAACATTTTGGCACAGCACTCAAGGCCTCCTGAGGTTTGGACTTGCCCAGTCTTATCTCTCTTATCCTCACATCTGTCATGACCTTTGCTTTGGCCAGACTGTTTTCCTTAAATTTCCCCTAATACATAATGCTGTCTGCTTTGGCCTAGATTTCTTTGCTTGTAAGTAACAGAAACTTGCTTTAAAGAGACCGAAGCCTGAAAGGAATTTAGTGGAAGGGTCATCTGATGGAACCCAAGGGTGAGGAGGTTCTAGGAGGGACAAGAACAAGGAGGAGGAAGGTAACTCTTTTCTTGGGCTCTCTTTCTTTGGGGGCTACTGATTTTTCACCTCTACTTCATTTAGCAAGTCTGTTTCACTCCTCTTTCTAGGCATACCAGCTTTCTCTGCTTCTTCCTGCTCACAGCTACTCCATAAGTGAATTTATATCACCCTAAATCAATTGAAAATTCCAGGAAACATCCCAGGCTTCCATTTCCAGGCAAGCAACTCTTGTTGGCCCAGCTTTGGCCATGGAGGCAGCTTCTGGGCAGAACATACATAGCTTCATAAGGGAGGCTTAGATGATACCTTCAAAGAAGTCTCTAAACTCTCATTGCTGAGCTTTTGCATATACTATTCCCTTTCACTGGATGCCCTTCCTTGCATCTCCAGCTGTTAAATTCTACTCATATCTCAAAAGTTAGCTCAAAATTTAGACTGTTTTGAAAACCTCCCTACACAGAGTTATGAGTCCCTCCATGTGTTCCCATAAAACTATTGTATATCTTGACTCGAATGCTTATTGCGTTTGGGTTATGTCAATTAATTTTCTCCGTCTTTCCTTTAGACCTTAAGATCTCAGGAGTAGACACTGAATCTTTTCACCTCTTTTTCTTTAGAGTCGGGGGAAGAGTGAGGCCTAAAATGGGGGTAGATCACCTTTTAGACGAATGAAGAGAAAGGTGATTAATCTCCATCTACCGCATGTAGGGATTTTTCAGGGCAGGATTCAGGCATATGGTGGGAAAAGAGAAAATACCACACTGACTTATTCTAATGGCAGCATGTTCTTTCACTGTTCGTCAGAGTCCTACAAGTGTCAGCCCTGAGGAAGCTGCGTAATTTAGGATTAGTGTTCTGCAGGTTTACAGGGTTCTGACTTCCTCGATAAAAAGGGCCTGATCTGACTTATAAACTGATACAAGAAAATGAATGGCTAAATGAAGAACAGGCTGGGTTGCAGAACACGTTTTAAAAATGTTACCACCTTCCTAGGACAGGCAAGTTGATAGTGGCTGTGTTCATTTTATATTAAAACTATAGCTGGGAACTCATTTGAACTTTATTATCAATGTTGCTGTGCATAAAGTTTAGCCCAAATTATGACTGACCTCTGTAAAGTTGGAGCAAAATTAAATATTTGAATAAAAATTAATAGCTAACATTTATCAGAGTTTACAATGCTCTATTACTGGGCTAAGTGCTTTTTTTAAATATGTTTTTTAAAAATTTTATTTAGTTTGAGAGAGGGGGGGGGGAGAGAGACAGAGAGAGAGAACACGCGTGCGCACGCGCACAAGCAGAGGCGAGGCAGAGAGAAGGAGAGACAGAATCCTAAGCAGGCTCCACGCCTTCAGCACGGAGCCCGATGCAGGGCTCAGACTCAGGAACTGTGAGATCATGACCTGAGCCGAGATCAAGAGCCGGACGCTTAACTGACTGCACCACTCAGGTGCTCCTGAGCTAAGAACTTTAAAAAAATTTTTTAAATTTTAATTCCAATTAGTTAACATACAGTGTTGTATTAGTTTTGGATGTACAATATAGTGATTCCATACATCATCTGGTGCTTATCATGACACGTGCATTCCTTAACCCCCATCACTAGTTCCCCCATTCCCTCTTGCTCCTCCCTCAGGTAACCAACAGTTTGTTCTCTATAATTAAGAATCTGTTCCCCGAGTGCCTGGGTGGCTTAGTCGGTTACAGCTCAGATCATGATTCTGCGGTTTGTGAGCTCAAGCCCCGCATCGGGCTCTGTGCTGGGGCTCGGTGCTGATAGCTTGGAGCCTGGAGCCTGTTTCAGAGTCTGTGGATCCCTGTCTCTCCGCTCCTCCCCCACTCATGCGCTGTCCCTCAAAAATAAACTTAAAAAAAATCTGTTTCCTGGGTTGGTTCTCTCTCTTGTTTTTTTTTCCCTTTGCTTGTTTGCTAAGTGCTTTAGATGTGTTCACTAACTACTCTGATCCTTAAAACTACCCTATGAGGCTGGTTTTATAATTAGTCCGTTTTGCAGAAGAGGAAGGCGAGGCACAAGAGTTTAACTAGAGTTGGGATGTGCTGTAGGGATCTGGCTCCGAAGCTAAACCTACTTACAGGTGGTAGACCCTGGGGCCAGACCCTTAAGTAGCTAAATCTACCACGTAAACCAGCTCCAAATGTTTACCTGCTTCTCACGATGGGTGGGAATACATGAAGAAGTGTTTAGGACAGCCCTCTAAGTCTCTAATTTTGGGTTTTCTTATCCCTTGAATCTTTATCTATAGGTGCTAGAAGAAAAAGGTCATGGGCACAATCTCATGAGTCTTGCTGTCAGTCCTATGCGAATTAGTTTCCCCAGCGACTTGACTGGAGGCTTCCTGGTCTAGTGAAGAGGGTAATGGATGGGGAATCTGGAGACCAGGGTCCAGCTCTGCCTCTGTCACTTGTAGTTCAAGACCTTCGGCAAGGGTCCATCTGCTCTCGGTCTTGAGTCACTCACCTGTCAAAAGGGGAGTTCAGACTGGAAGGGGATATTTTTAAGCTCCCTTCCAACCAGTCTAGATTTAGGTAAAGCAGTTCAGGGCCACCACTCGTAGATGGGCAGGTTTGACACTGCACAGCCTAAGGGGGGGTGCCATTTGCAGAGTATGAGGTGAATAACACACACACACACACACACACACACACACGTATGCCCTAAGCTGAATTAGCAGGGCCTCCCCATAACGGAGGGTTTTTGTGCAACCCTGACCCTGGTCCCCAGGAGCTACTATGACGTTGAGAGTCCTGAGCCTTTCAGAAGCTCCCTGGGAGTCACGCTCCTGCATTTTGACAACCGAGTGAGACCCTCGGGCAAGCGTAGACTTATGGGACAGCAGAGTTGCCCAAAGTGCCAGCTATGCAGTCTCGTGTAGTAAATCCCGTAGCATAATGCTGGACATCCGACAAAGTCCCCTAGAAATGCTAGTTGGTATTATTACTGTAGTGGAATAGAGAAGAAACATGGGTCAGATCACCTCATGGGATTCAAGACTTTGACCCAATCTCTGAGGTGGCTTGGCACAGAGCCAGCTTCGATAGGAAGCTGACCCTGCCATTTATGGCCGGGGGAACATGTCTGACATCAGACCTTGCAAGGCTCTGTTGAGAAATCAGTTGTGTGTCTGTCTTCTCCGGGAAGGTGACTCGTGAATGTCTCTGAAGGGCTGGGGGAGGGGCCTTGAGTTGGGAATGTGATCTCTGTTTTCCCCGCTCTCCCTCCCCATCCCCACATCTGTTCTATTTTGAGGGGATGGAATGGTCAGGAGGAGGCTGAAATGCAAGGCCACCTTGCTTTGGGCTAGGGGTCAGCAGGAGTTGGAGGGTCTCAGAAACTGGAAGCATACATGGAGAGAGAGAGAGAGAGAGAAAGTAGAATATATACCTTGTGCAAGGGAAAGACTCACCTTCACACACAATTCTAATTGCAACGGGGCATTTCTCATCTCTGGTTTGGGCAGCTCGGCCATCACTGCTTCTGGGTCAGTGGGCTTTATGCTTGAGTCTTGATGATACTCCTCTGGGACTCCAGATTTCCAGGACCCCACCCTCAGCTATTCAGATTCGGTAGGACTGGGACCCTCCCCTTACATCAACCTCGGGTTGGAGCGGTGAGTTGGATACCTTCCACGTATCCACTCTCTGCCTTTCTTACCCTGCTCTATGCCGTGGGATGCTGACTGATAGGGACTACCTAAATGGATTCCCCTGTCCTCTGGATTCTGAGCTCAGCCAGCGGGAACCCTAGTAGGAGATGGGTGGGCTGAAACTTCAAGTCAGGGCATTTATTCCCCCCCAGCTCCGTCCCTGCTGGTTGCTGGGATTGGCTCCTGCTGGGCGGCCATCATCATACAGCTTCCTCCCTGGGCTCCCGTAATGTCTCCCTTGCTTCACTCCTCAGACCTAGGGGCAGTGACAGCTCCCAACTGTTACTGGCCTTGGGGTGCTGGCTGCACCATCACTCATTTTCTTTTCCCCGAGCCATTTCCACATGTTATTACACTCTCACCAGTCTGATAAAACTCTCTCTCCTTGCCCAGCTTCAGTACGCCACCTGGTCCTGCCAGGGCTCTGATCCATTCAGGGATTGTCCGTAAAGCTGCCTTTTAAGCAAGGGGCCCATGTTAAACATGGAGAACTTTTAGAAATACTGCTTTATGGCCTTTTATGCTCTCTAGTTCTTTTTCAGTCCCTTGGCGCTTAACTCATTTGAGACCAAGGTGATGTTTTGCAAAGGCAACTTTACCAGAAAATTAAGTTAAAAAAAGAAAAGACTGTTCAATGGGAAAATATAAAAGCATAGGGACATATCCATAAAGCCTAGCCTCCTTGTCTGTAAGGAGACTGATATGCGTGCAGCCTGGCATGCCCCCTCCCCAGACAATAGGCCTCCATTCCCCCCCATTTTTGAGAAAATCCTACCCCAATCAAATAAGTGAAACAATGCAAAACTGTATGAATTAATCCTAAATATAATTCCACTGTCCAATTCTCTTTAACTCTAATGCCTTTCGATAACTTTGTGTATATCCTCCCAGATATTTTTCTGAACATTTATAAACCCATATATATTGTTTTTTTTTTTTTT